AACTTTGCACGAAATTTTTATTGCAACATACACATTTGTACAAAATAACAAAACACAGAGCATTACAAAAAACAAAATAACAAAATAACATTTGTACACAAATTCATTACAATTAAATTCTTCATTCATTCATTCATTCACTCATTTCTTTACAATGTGTACACAAGTTCATTACAAAAAAAAACAAAAAAACAAAAAAACTACACAAACACAGAGCATGCCCAGCTTTTCTTCTTCTTGGTTATTCCTCCTCGCTGGACGCTAGCTCTTCTTCTTCAATGCCATCGTCCAGGGGGGTCTGGGCCACATCATCTTCACCTATCGTTACACTACTCAGGTCCAAGTGTGGGAACAGCTCTTCAGCTCTGTGCTTGAACATCTTCCAACCGCTGTCCCAGAACTCGGCCATTTCGTGCTTGTAGAAGTCTGACTGCTGGAAGCTTTCAATCACCTCTGCTTCTGTCCTACCTCCAGCAGTCTTCCTTGATAGGCCCACCCCCCCAGACTCTTACCCAGCCAGACTCCTGGCGACAGCGGCGTCTACCGCCATCTGAAATTCGGGGGACCCTTCATATTGCTCCACTGCTGCGACGCATAGATCAGGGTAGGCCGCCCTCTCAGACGCTGCCTTCGCCCTCTCTTCGTCCAGCTCTCTTTGCAGGGCCCCCCTTTCAGCAACCGCCATCGCCCTCTCCTCTTCCACCCCCTTCTTCAGACTCTCCAGCTCCGCCGTCACCTTCGCCTTCTCTGATTCCCACTGCCTCAGGAGCCTCCCCTTCTCCTCCTCTGCTCTGGCGCGCTCCTCCCCCAACTCTTTCAACAGATCTCCAATTCTAGAATCCGCTTCATCCTTTTGCCTGACCAGCTCTTCATTGCTGCTCATGGCCTCTTCATGCCGCTCGACCGCAACGGCGCAGGCCCTTTCAGACTCTTCCAACTTTTTTTGTTCGCCAGCCAGTTGGAACTCGAGCGACACGACCTTACGGCGTTTGTCCTTCTGCTCCAACTTGACTGCTGGCAGATCAGCCTGGGCAGTCTTCCAGCCGGCACTGTCTTTCTTCAATTTGGCCAACTAGGCCTTGGCCTCTTCAACCTTTAACTTGGCAGCCCCTGCCTTCCTAAGGAGGGCCCCTGCCAAGGTAGTTACCTCCATTTGGGCGAAGCATAACCCCCTCAGCAGGTCAGCCTCATTGTATCCTGATGCCGCGCGCAGAGCTATCTCCTCCACAATCTTCACCAAGCGGTTTGCCCCCGCCCTGGCTGGGCCTTCTTCTCCCTCCAACCTTCCAGCTACCGCGCGCGCATGATAGATTGCCGTAGCCAGACGAACCCCTCCTTCTTGGGGGGGCAGGCCCCTTCTGGACCTGCTCCCTTCCGCTCGGCGCCGCCTCAGTCAGCCTAGCCTCCACTTGCACTGTTGGAGCAATCTCCACAACCTCCACCGTTGGGATGACCTCCACCACCTCTGGGGCATCCTTGGCCACAGGGACCTCCACCTCAGTTGGGGCCACCTTCGCCCTCTTGGTCCCAGACTCATCTGCGGCTTCCTCTGGGGCACTCCTCTTCTTCTTCTTCTTTTTCAGAGCCTCCCCCTCCTTTCTGGCCCGTTCTTTTACAGGGTCTACAGGGGGCGGCCGCGGCTCAAAACTGCTTAAATCTTTTCCCCCCAACGGCCTTGGGCGCGGTCGGATCCTCTCCCGTGCGATCAGTTAAGACGGTCGGTCTCCTCACGCTTCTTTCAACTTCGTGGCCTTGGCCAGAATGGCCTGATCCTCTACCTCCTGAGCTTTTCTCCTCGCCTCCAATTCTGCTCGGTCTAGGTCCCCACCCTTCGGCTGCGGTCCTAGCCCCGCCTCAAACAATGCAGATGGTTGAACAAGCTCGTCCCATTTGGCCTTCTCTCTCTCTCTCCACTCCTTCACTCTCTTCACCCTCTCTTCCGCCATTGCCCCCAGTCTCGACTCCATCGACCTAGTTGGCACCTTCCAGATGGTGCGCACCCCCACTCCCCCATTAGCAGACACGTAGAACCACCGTGGCCACCACCCCTTGATCGATGTCGACAGCCCCGCTACCAATCCCCTCCCCATCACCGCCTGTAGGGTGACCTAAGTTTCTTGCTGCCCCGACGCCTTGTAACACGAAAAGAACTCGTCTACTGTCATGGCCTCCCCTCCATTCGCCTTGGGCCACGCACTCGCACAGGCCAGCAGAATCTTCCATGCATTGGGCATCAATTGCCCCGGCGCTACCTCCAGGCGATTCAGCACATCAACCACCACTTGGGGCAGTGGCAACCTCAGCCCACCTTTTAGCGCCTCCTCGTACAGGGAAAACTCCCCTGGCCTAGCAGTAAACGGCCTTTCCCTTGATGTCGGCAGCAATAACTCCACCTCCGCAGGGATCTGGTATTTTTCGCGGATAGCCTCCAACTCCGCCGCAGTAGTCATGGATTTGTCCGCCTTTGTGTGCCAGTGATCAGGTTCTGCCTGGTTAATTGGCTTTGGCGCTGCTATCATGGTGGAACCGTGGGATTGTACAATCGACTCCCCCACCCTTTTCATCCGGTATTGCTGCGCTAACTCCACCGCATCATCATCTCTAAGTGGATCCACTCTGACAATCGCAGTTCCTTCTTGGGCCATTTTCGTGGTATGTCTGCGAATCGCTTCGGGGGCAGGTGCAAGGAAATCAAAAAAGTATTGCAGAGGTGTATCGTGAGCAACAAAGGAATTCACACTTGGAATATTTTGATTTTTCGTAAACAAGTAGGTGAATCGAATAATGCCAAAAGCCCACGGTTTGCCTATATTCCAAGGATCCCAATTAATTTTTGCCAGTTTGAAAACTTTTCAAAATCATCCGCCAAAACTGTCTCTTCAACACCCATAATGACCTAACATTTCGTTTCTGACGTTTCATTTCTGATCCAACGCCTAATCTTCCCCCCCTACGGGATGTGGCCACGTGTACGACCACAATGCACTGTCTACTCCCCTCCACGTGTATGGCCACGATGCACTGTCCCCCCCCTTTCCCCTGTCTTTTCCATTTCAAATCATCACATGGCCCCAACCCACCCCCTCTCCTTTCGAACCCCGCGCCGTCCTGGTCGGCACGCCTCTCGGTCGACCCCTCTCGCTCGGCCACCCTCGCGGTCGGCACGCCTCACGGTCGCCCCCTCCCACTCGGCCACCTTCGCAGTCGGCACGCCTCTCAGTCGACCCCTCCCACTCGGCCACCCTCGCGGTCGGCACGCCTCACGGTCGACCCCTCCCACTCGGCCATCCTCACGGTCAGCTTCTCCCGTTCAGTCACCCTTGCGGTCGGCACGGCTTCCACTCGGCTCCTCCACTCGGTTCGCACTTCTCTTCCTTATTACTATTCCCTTCGTTGGGTTAAAGCTGCACTCGGAAATGGGGGACTACTGACATGGATAGGCCCACAAGGTATACGGCCCACAACAAACCACCCCAAACCCATCGTTTGGGACCAATAGCATAGCCCGGTTGGCAAAGCCCAGGACAGCTGGAGGCCATCTAGACATGGGGGGCCAATGGCATTCGGGCACATGGCAGGTGGAACACAGGCCACATCAGCAGACAAAGATCTGCAGAGTTATTACCACAACACATCACCATTAATGCAGCCCATCACAGCATTTATTACGACAACACCTCCCCGTCGGAACAGAGCCCCCTCACCCTGAACAAGGTAAGCTACGGCACAGGCTTTCGGCGGAAGGGGGCACATCACACGGGACAGTGAAATGATTACCAAAGGATATAAGCAAGAATAGAAAGACAAGAGAAAGGTTAAGCTTTTATCTATCTCTCTCTCTCTCTACATTTCCTCCTTCCACTACTAATTCTCTCGCCGGAGGGTTCACTGGGGGACCGCCCCGTTTCCTTTTGGACTTACTTGCAGGTCATTTGACAGAATCATCACCCTGAACCGGAACTTGAAGAGCTTGGACCAACTCGACCCATCCACCCGGGACGGACAACATTATCAAAATATAAGGTCTGCTAATAGTCCCCATTTTTTTCTAAAGACCCCTCACTTCTAAGAACCTCTCCACCTACAAAATTTAAAATTCACAAAATTATTTAAAACCCTTCATATAATACCAAATCCCCTATACTAATCCATCCATCTTCAGTGACAACAAATCCCCCATACTAATCCATCTTCGCTAGTAATGATAAGAATTATTGTAATCTTATTTAATTTCTTTATTTTTTATGATATTATTGTGCCCGTAAATTAAAGTTTATTCCTGTGTTATCAAACTTTTTGAGTATGTCTAGTTTTGCATCACTAAATTATTTAAGTAGGTTTGGTTATGTATTACCGAACAATTTACATTTGTTCAGTACTAGTTTACTGAACACACCGTTCAAGTTAAAAACAAGTTTATGTTTGAAAAACATAACAAAACAAGCCAAACCTCTCCCATACTGTCGCTATTATGCTCCATTGCTCATTTTTTGCAATCTCTTCCACTACTTTTGACTTGATTAGTAGAGATATAAACAGATCATATAAAAACACTATGAAAAAGGATAATGATAGATTAACAGGAATGATTATCAAAATGAATATGGTTATGGAGGATGTGATGTGGGTACTAAAGAATACAATGAGAATTATATCAAGTTGTCCATTTTAGTAATTTTAATTGAAATTATAATTTTCATTAAAAAAAGAAAAGAAAAGAAGGCAATAGGAGAAGAGCCCTTAGAAAACAGGTTGGAGCTATTTGCAGCCCCAAAAAACATTTCGTATAGAAACTCAGAAAGTGCCTAAAACAAAGTCTGTCCAAACTTAACAAATGCAATGGCCAAATGGGTATATAGAAAGAGTGCCCCATTTCACTGTTCATAACCCCAAGAGTATATATATATATATAAAGGGCCCATCTTTACAGTTGGCTTAATACTTTGGGGCTCATTCAGCATACCTATTTTCATTTAAAAATGTTAATGTGAATATTGTGCTACATCCCAAGCAAACATTTTGTAATTTATATGGCTGAAAGACTCAATTTTGAGTATTACCTTAAAACAAGTTACTAATAACCGTATAAACAACCTACCTACCTGCTCTCTCTCTCCACACGACGTTCACATCACATATGCACACAGAAGAAACAAACATGATACATTGAAGCTACAAAAAGGAACGAAATCAGAATGATGCTGTTCCAAACTTTGGAACCTCAAATCATCAATCAAATAGGAAAAGACAGAAAAACCTAGATGAAAGAAAGCCAAGCAAAGAATACACAAGGGTGATGACGACAACGACGATGACAATAACTGCGACTGAGTGTCTACAAAATATTTGGGAGCTGAGAATCCAGTCTCTGCTGCAATTCTTTGACCTTCCCAGAGAGCTCTGACTTCTGTTCCTTGTAGCTCTGCAGAAGGTATTCTTTTCCTTCTATCACTTCCTTCAACTCAACCACTTCCCTCTTCAGCATCTCTATCCTCTCTCCTCCTAATCTTCCCCCCTTCTCCTCTTCCAAACTGCTCCCCATCATGTCAAGATGATACCCATTCCCATTTCCGTTTCCGTTTCTGCCTCCTCCTCCTTCAGATGGCGACCACATTGGTACCGCCGTGACTGTTGGAGGCTTGTCGTTGTTAGGACCCACTTGACCCACACAATGATCAGCAATTGCTTTCCTCAGCCTCTGGATTTCTCTCTCTGAGTCAAGCAGATCCCTATTTGCAGCATCCAGCAGTGACTGCAGATGGGAAGAACGAGATGAGTGAGTGCTCAGTGAATTCTGCAATTCCACAATCTGATCCTGCATCTCCAGTATCATATCATCCCTTCTCTTCAGCTGCTGCCTCAGTTTTTGTATAACTTCTCTCTTGCTGAAGACGTCTGAACCAGTTTCTGAGACACGTGGAGAGTCTGAGCTGTTTGAGTGGTGGAATGGCTTCTGGGGCAGCTCAAGACGGTCTGGAGACGATGCCCACATTATCCCATTGTCATTCTCTTTGTTAAATTCCATAGCACCAACTGTCACCAGAGGAAGTGCCACATCCTGTTCTGTCAATTGCCCATTGTGTTGCTGCTTAATCTCCACCACACCTTGGGTTCCTGTTTCAAAAAACCCCAAACAAAAATAAATAGTCTTCTTAATTCATTGATTTTGAGGGTATCAATCGATATAAAGAAAATTTTGATTACCCTTATTTGGCCACTACAGGAGCAACTAAATATTCATGGGGAATCAATCCTTTACCAAGGAAATACATTAGTTACATTTATCCAATTGTTCTCCAATGGGTCCATTCAATGATGTAAAATCATCCATGTGACAAACAAATCAAATTTTAAAAAAATCCATCCAAAAAATTCAAATATTGGATCTATCTATTGAACCACCAAGAAAAACTATTTTGTAAGTCAGATTAAATCAAATAACTATTTCAAGATCGTGATGGTGTTAGAAGGATGACATGCCAAAAAGAAATCAAGTATTATAAGCTTAAATTGTGCATATTATCTGTAAAAACTGAAGTTTATGCTAAACAATACCAGGTCTGTCCTGCAAACTTTGGCCTGAGATAATCTAGAATATTGGGTTTCTGTTGGAGAAAACAGCAAACTCACGCATGTAAGAATGAAAGAGCAAAGAAAGCTATATACCACTTTTCATGCAAAGTCCGCTGAAGAATAAGAGGTTCAAAACTTAAACAGATAGCAATTTCCCCCTCCCTTCATTGTTTTCTTCCCTCTTCTTTAAGTATTTAAGAACTCCGAGAGAACACAATAAAGTGAAAAAAGTCTTATAAACAAAACCAGTCAACTTATGACATTTGTAGCTAGCTCCATGATATAGGACATGTCCCTAGCATGTGAGTGAGTTAGTGACATATAACTAGAGTGGGGTTGATCATTTGTAACTAACTTTGATGCATAAACAATTGATCTCTTATCCTTGGACCCATCACTCTACCTTCAAAACAAAAGCACACCAATAATTCAGAGACACTGCACATTCCACATCAATAGGTCTCTTCTGGTTTTTCACCTTTCTGCATTTTATTACTACCTTTCTTATAATTTAAAAAAAAAATTAAATGCATTAATTGTTTCTCATTTTCTCCATCCTCAAACCATAGTTTGATATTATTAACAAAGAACAAACACAGAAAAATTCCTCTTAACTCTTGATACTCTGAAGCAACATTACAAAGAATCAGTATCCATCAGCAGGTAAATCATGCTCCCATATGTAATATACAGATAGCAATGGTCAGAGACATAGTGAAAAGCAATCACAAGTTAAATCCAGAAATCAACGGTAAGCTATCTCTGACCCTTTAAAGAACAGGATGAAAGAAGGTTCACACCTGACATGTAATTGAAGCAGCCGTCCTCATCTTGGGCAAAACAAAAACCATTTGACTGCAAATGGCAACTCCCTGACTTCTTTCTGTCTGTAGATTTTCCATTCACTGAATTGTCAAAAATGTGAAAGGTAAGTAAGAGCACCTACAAAGTTAAAAAAAGACAACTTGAGAATGCTTTACTATTTGAAGACCTTTCAAACCATTGCAAGTATTGTCTGGTAGCTTTGCATCAAGCACCTGTTTCAGCCTGTAACCCAAGCGAATCGATAACATACTTAACAAGGCACCACCAGCAATAAGTATCCAATTTGAGCCCTCACCCTGGCAACTTTTTGAACCCTGAGCTCTAGGCACACCATTGTTTCTTGGTTTCATTTTAGAAGCTATTGAACTGTCGAATGGAAATCAAATATGACCTACATTGAAAATGCACCATATCACCATCATTATTTACATCACAAACAACAAACCAAAGCATTCCAAGGAAGCCTTTTCCCAATTACTAGTGAATAACCAGGATAAACTCCCTCCCTAAGTTAACTGTTTCCTCTCATTTACGTTTAAAAAGCTTTGCTGTTCAAGCAATGTCAGCTTAGATGCAAGATGAACAAGAAAGCATCTTGAGTTTCTATGAGATAGAGAATCCTGGGGCTTATACTAAGCTAATTTTCGTTCATACTTGGTATATGGGGGTCTGAGATATGTTTCCAGTGATTTAGGTATTGTAATAAAGTTAAGCCAATCTTTTTTTGGCTGGATAAGTTCAGCTAATCTAATGATTACTTGAAGCCTTTAAAGAGGCCAGGCCATCATGTGTCAATTCTACATATGGAGTAGTGTAGCACATGCAAAAAAGGTAACAATATAAATATATAGTGTTAATAAAATGAACTTGAGCTTAGGAAATCATCTTAGCAACAGCATACCACACAGATTAATTATCCAACTTGTTGAATAAGTCTCTGTTACACAATGCTTTTTCTGCTTTTTGGCTGCTGTTGTAAAGACTATACGATTCACACACTTGTAACTCTGTAAAAAATACATTATCTTTTACCTCTAATTCCATCCATGGTGTGAAGCAGTCTAACTTCGATATCAATTCTCACCAGAGTAGGGTGAGCAAGGGGAGGATACTATTGGGGTTTTCAGGTATAAATTGCAGCAGGGTCTTGCCCTTCAGCAAGTGGCTCACTATCGATTATAATCTAAATATTTTGGTTGTCATATTTTTCACCCATTACCTAATTACTACAGCCATTGCCCATTTCTATTTGGAAAATCATATTCATAATCAACAATCTGTCAAATCCATCAAAATGAACGGTTCATCATGCACTACAAAATCCAAATCCCCCAAATGGACTTGATGGAAACATTATGAATCTTAATCAACCACTTAGAACTCTAACTAAACGATACATCATGATTATGGAGATATGTAGTTAAGAATGTTAATAGTAGGGAACTATAGCACTTCAATAATATTGGAAGAAAGAAATATGTGTTGCAATGCAATCAGAAACTAAATCTGCAAAACAAATACAGACCCATTTTCAGCCTGTCCATAAATATAACATACATGAACAAGTGTGTAAAGTTCAAATATCAGAAATTTCATCAAGCATTTTAGCTGCAAAGCAGCAAAACACTCCATCAAGATCCAACTCTTATTTGATTATATTAGTGGACCTTTAAATCTATTGCAATAATCTAAATGAAAGCAACATCACCTACTTCTGTCTATGCTACACAAGGACAAACCACATTAAATTCTACAATCTAACAAAAACAGGTGTGATTGCCATTAAATCCAACAAGTACTTAAAGACCACAAACAAAAATCCAACAAATAATTAAGACCAGAAACCATGGATTAGGAAGAAACAAAATCAATGAAGGATGACATTCAATGCAACAATGTGCTAAACAAGGAACAAAATTCAATTACAAAAATAAAAAAATTAAAAAAAAAAATAAAAAATAAAAAACAATTTAAGTATTCTGAAAAATACTCAACATTGGTGGTAGGCACATACCTGTAAAAACAAAAAACTAAACACACACAAATATAAGTAAACCAACTTCACCTGAGCAATTGCAATGAAATAGCTGGTGATAAAGCAGCAGCGGACGCAACATATCTGACAAACAATGGTGATCCTTGTGGCGGTTACAATGACTTTGATTATCAATCAAGATCTAGTCAAAAGAGCTGCAACAATCAAAAGGATTGATTATGTTCAGGGCTAGGGTAGCAATTAAGGTAGGGTTTCTGAAAGCTCAGATTTGACCACTTAAAAAAACAATGAGGCTAATAACACCCAATCACAATAAACCGATTTAATTACTTCTGTTTTCGCTCTGTTTCTATTCCATTACATCAGTAACATACTTAACTTTCTCATAACACAAACCTAACTATCCACCAACGATAATGGGTCCTGGTGTACCTTGGTTGTCGTAGCCTTTACTGGTATTGTTGACATCAATAGAGTGATCGAAGGTGACGTGGTACCCTTGTGCATATATATTGTTAAACAGATATATGCAGTCTTCAATCTGATTTGCTTGTGTTTTTGTAAAGATACTTAAGATCTAGGTAACCAGGTTGGAAAGATTTAAATTCCAATATTGAATTATCCTTCAACAAAGAAATTGATGACTGATTTGTTTGTGGAAGTTTATAGAAATTTACTTAAGGTCGTGACTTGATTAAATGAGAGATTTTGTGCAACTACATTTTTTTTTGGACTGGTGCATAGTGATATAGTAGAATAAATGCTTCAATTGTCAAATTGAGTCCTATGCTTTAGTGTCATATGTTCCCTACTAGGTGTTCCAATAGTTAAGGCTATTTGTGGCTTTGGACTATAAGTATGAGATGTAACTTCTTTGTACTTACTTTTTCATTAAAAGAATATACATTTTGATTGGCACAGAGTCTCGGTTTCTCTCTCTAACCCTTAGGGGTTTACCCCTAATTGGGGATTTGTTCTCTCTTTTCTCAATTGATCTTTGATTTGCATTTTGATTGCATTATTTGGTATCAAAGTTTAAGGCTCATATCCTATTCTTTTCCAATTAGTTCGATTGTGCTTTGAAATCTACTTCGCAAAATCAAAATCACAACTAGTATTGTGTTGCCTGCCTCAGAACAAGCCGTCTTTTTTTTTTTTTTTTTTTTTTACATTATCGTGAAACCTATGTGGAGATGCAAATCGAGTCTAAACGAGCTACCTCTAAACAAATTTGAGATATAAGATACATACAAACTTGAAAAACTTCGAACCATAACATCGACAACCAGTTCTTAATCGCAACTGAGATAGCAAATTATCGATTGAACCTCTACTGCGACAATTGATCTTCAATTGCAGATCAATTTCAGCAATTGATCATCCAACACACATCAATTTGAAGTTTTGAACCCTCGTTGGAACTCAATTTCAAGTTGCAAATCTGTTTGAACTTTCAATTCAAGTTGGGATCTGATCTGAGAGTGAACCTTAATTCGAGTTTGCAATCTATGCTTAAGAGGCCTGGTTGAGGTTGATTCGACTTCTAACATCTCAAATTTGGTTTGTGACTTTTTGAACTTGGTGCGATTTCACGTATTCGACTATGTTTGAAGCCTGATTCAGTAACGATCCAAGTTTAGGTCATTTCGACTGCTGGCTGCATCAAATCAAACATGAATTTAAGTGTGGATTTAGTTTTGAACCCTAATTGAACAGAGCGTAGTGCGAAGTCTCAATTTGAACTATAAGTTATTACTAGAATAGAAACCCTAACTCTCCAAAATCGAACTCTAATCTAATGCAAAAATCTGCTATTGAACCCTATTAACTTTTGTGTGTCATTCGATTGTTCTGCGGTTCTCTGCATCTGAGTTTGATTAGTGAGATTGGAAATTTTCAGATCTCAGATTTGGTTCAAGACCTCAAAATTGGTTCAATTGGTTCGAGTGCCTTTATATTTTTGTTCGACAGGATAGATCAAATCTTTCTTTTTGATCGTAGTGGTTCGATTCCTTTGAGGACATATTTGACCCCGCAAATCTAGTTCAAAGTGGTCCAATTCTTTCAGAATTGTGTTCGAAAGGTATGATTGAGGCGTTCTTTTCGTTTGACTCTCTCATATTAAAGATGGGAGTGATCTGCTTTGTATTGATATGAGTTCGAGTGGCTGTGGTTTGGATCGAGAGTCATTAGTTTGATCTCAACTTGGTCCAGATGCGTTCATATCTACTGTCTTGAGTCCTTTTGATTGAAATCCAAATTTGGTTCACTTACTATGTTGTTGTGTGCATTAGATGGCTAATAGAGGAGGTAGAGGTCATGTTGCCAATTTTGGTGATGATATTGCATCGAACTCACCTATTGGAAAGAATGATGCTATTCGAAATCATATTCAATATCATAAGAGATGAGATGAAGCAAATGAGTAAATAAATTGTTGACGTGAAATAGTTGATGCAATGATTACATTCAATTGCATGCAGATATTGACATCTTTGGAAGCTTCAAAGAGCTTCTTGGAATTTGCATAGTTGGTCCTCTTGTATGCCTTTATAGGAAATTGTTTAAAGTCTAACAAAAGAACATATGCATAAATTTATTGTATTTTTCTTTTATCATTGAATTCCAAGTTATTTTATTCAAATTTATAATGTGTTTCATGTGTGATAGACACATCCGAGAAAGAAAAAAATTTATTAAGTAGTCAGACTTATTTGGACGTGTGTTTGACAGGTGTTGGGAAGTATCTAACGAGTGTTCATGCTTCTTTGGCATTATCTCTTAACAATTGAGGGAAAAAATGTGCATTCATTTGTTTTGTTTTTTTTATGTTGTAGTTATTAGATTTAATTTACTGATTATTGAATTTCCCATTAAGGATGCATGTCTTTCCATTTTGTTTTTTGAAAGTTGTAATGAAAGAGACCATGTTTGCAAATGCAACTAGAAATAATGTTAATAACATGAACTATAGTAAACAACTCTCTCTCTCTCTCTCTCTCTCTCTCTCTTTCCCAATATGTATACTTCCCAGTATCACCTTATTTTTAAATTTTTTTGTCAAAATTAATTTGTTGGGTATTCCTTGAATCAATGTTAAAATTTCACGCTACAAAAAAAATAATAAAAAAGTGAAACATTGTCTGTGGCTAGACTCATACTGAATCCACAATTCAAGCACCATTGCTGTGCATAGGACCAGTATGAGGTCATATTATTTAAGAATGATTTCCAATCCCCTCCTTCTTGATGTCATGCTTCAACGGCTTCTATACACAAATGCTAATTTTTTATTAAAAATGATTTCCAATCCCCTCCTTCTTGATGTCATGCTTCAACGGCTTCTATACACAAATGCTAATTTTTTATTAAAAAAATAGTTTTTAAAAAAGACTAACTGTACTTATTTCCATTTACCTCCATCTACTAAAAAAAAAAAAACCATTTTAATGATTACTTATTTATTCATATAATAATTTGATGTAGCTAGGTTAAGGCAATAGCTTGACAAAAAAATAACAGAAACTAATTTATTTATTCACCAATCTTTTTGTTATGAACTTGTGCTAGAGATGGCTTTACCAAATTCACAATGAAAGTAGTTACAAATTGGATTATTGCTGAAAACAAAACCAACCAATTATGTCCAAATACAAAGCCAATAAGAAGAAATTACAAAGGGGATGTGTTATTGCATGTGATTGAGATAGAGAGAGTAGATGACTAACCTTTTGGTGGTGGTGGTGGTGGTGGTCGTAACAGGCAAGAGGCGATCGACGGTGGCTGGAGAAAGCGAGGGAAAGTGAAAGATAGAGACAGCAAGAGCTCTGAGAGAGACACAGAAATTAATTAGGTTAGGGCACACAATCGGAGTGGAGGATAAGAGCGGAAAGTAAATACGCGACGTCGCTTATTTGGTACTTCACTTTTTTTGAGAGGATATTTGGTACTTCACTTGCATAACAATTTTGTTTCATTACCCACCAAATCTCTCATTATACCATACCATAATCAAAAGTTAGGTCTTGCTTGTCATTCTTTAAAAAAATTATTAAGTTAAAAAAATATTATTCTATTTAACTCATATCATTTTATTTAAATCACATCATCTCTTTAACACATCACTTTAAATCTAATTCATATCCAATCCATATTTCATAAAAAATTAAAAAATACACTTATTTAGATCATCACAAACCACCCTAAAAAGCTATTCTATTTACACATTATTACTTCTTTCAATATATATGATCAAATTTATATTTTAATATTCTCAAATAAAAAAATCTAGCATAGAGGTATATTATATCCATTGAAAGATTTTATATTTAAAAACATAATACTCGTCGTACATCATCATTACTTATAGAGTTCAGGGTTTAAACATATAAACACTGTATTTCTTCAACATCTTCACCATTAACACACTACACTTATAATATCATTTATTATCAATTAGCTAATTTCATTCGCTTCTTCATTATACTTATTTCCCAAATTCAAAACATTAGCCTTTGAAAACATTATACTTATTTCCCAAATTCAATTAGTTTTGAAGATTTGCATACCGTGAATGATATTAAGATGGTTGATTCTGATATAAACATTGAAAATGTTAGTTTATTACTTGGTTTTTTTATTTTTTGTTTATCTCGTTCATAAGTTAGGAAAATGAATTTATTTGTCATGTGTTCAAATAATCAAAGTTGAATTTTTACACAATATTCGATTATTTTACACAATATTCGATTATTTATATTTGAACAAAATAATTTTGTTTAAATTGTTAAGATTGATCATCAAATATTAAATGCTTATGCATAAAAATATTTAATATTTAAAGTTAGTTCAGTTAAAATAAATTAAAATTTTATTCTTTATTCGAATATAATTTTTTGAACACATTAAGTTTGTTCAACTCTGTATTCATGAACATTATTATGTTTTTTTTTTTTTTAACGGCAAAACAATAATGAGACGACAAAGATAGAGAATGACAATGGACCGGCGAGATGACAACGAATATGGAGGCCGAATGAAACCCTCCACTAGTGATGGAGTTCAACACTGACAATAAAGATCTCTGAAGATGGAGGTCTTTGTTCTAAAGATGAAGAGATTTTGGTGTGTGCCATGGTGTGTATCAAAGACGAGTGGTGTGTTACTACCATAGAGCCAATAATGGAAAGTTAAGATGTGAACTAAGATATTTTTAAATCCTAAAAATTATTGTGTGTGTACTAAGTAATGGTGTGTATTAAGATGATTAGTTGTGTGTAGGGTTACAAATGAACCGAGCTATTCATGAACAGCCCGGGCTCGACTTGTTAACAGCTCGTTCGAGCTCGGTTCAATTAGCTAATAAACGAGCTCAAGCTACATTTCCAAGCTCGTTTATTAAACGAGCCGAGCTCGAGCTGACTAAGGCTTGGCTCGGTAAGGCTCGCAAGCCGTAGTATTTAAGTAAAAAAAAATTAGGTTTCCTCTTTGTATCAAATTCATATGCTGCTCCTACTTGCTACTCTTTGTGACCTACACACTCCTATCGTATTACTACTACAAACATTCAACATCAACAATCCAGATCTGGCTAACACATGAATCAATCACACAAAGAATTAATCTCATCAACTCTTAGACACTCAAACATCGACGACAATATAGTTTCATTGCTTTGGTGAAGATCTAAGACTGGGAGCCTATTCTTCTTTCTTGAATCCATTATGGTAAGTTAATTCTTCTCTCTCTCTCTCTCCCTCTCTCTCTCTCTCTCACAACAATGGTGTCTCACATGCTTTTATGCACATAGTACACTTATTTCACCATTGACCCTTCTCTTTCCTCTCCCTTCAATCTCAAATTTGCAAAATTAGGTATTTCTGACTACCCCTTCCAATACACACACTGTTATATATATTTTGTTTGTCTTCTTTGCTAGAGTGAAACTTTAATTATATATATATATATATATACTTGTCCCATATTTTTTTTTTTTTTTTTGTTTTTTTTTTTTTTCCCTTCATGCAAAGACAATTTTCTAAAATTTAGATAATTGGCATAAAAATTAATTCAAATTCGGCTTCTAAATTTCTTTTGAGTTTAATCCAATACTAACACTCTCAAATTAACTCATACTTGTCATAACCTCAAAGACTAGGATATAAGTTAAAACATAAAATTTAAATTGATTATTATCATCAAATCTGGTCTTGGTTACATTTGTCAATAAAGATGATTTACTAATTTTATGCTTTAACAGTTCAATTTTTGATGCTTTGTTTTGGATTATTTGTTCTCTCTCATTTCACTTATTTGATTCAATGGTGGTTTAGTTTTTAGTATATATATTGTCCCCTATTTTTTTGAGTTGCATAATGAGTGCTCCCATTTTGACACAAAAAATTATAATTTATTTTGCAAAATTGAATGGCAATGAGCATCCTTGAATTTCAGTTTTGTATGTGATTTTAGTACTTCAATAATATTGTAGTTTACGGTGCTATTAATAGTTCAAATATATGTATATATATATATATATATATATCTCCATATTCAAATATGGGTCTTGGTTACATTTGTCAATAAAGATGATTTACTAATTTTGTGCTTTAACAATTTAATTTTTGATGCTTTGTTTTGGGTAATTTTCTCTCTTGGTTTCACTTATTTAACACAATGGTTGGTTTAATTTTCAGTTTCTTAATGTATTATTATTCTAGTTCAATTTTATATTGATTGTTAATTTATTAGTTTATTAATTTATTTCTTGCATTATTGTTATTTTTCTTAGATATGTCCGACAGACAAATTAATCTCACTTCTCCATAGCAAGATTCTTGTACACCGTTTTCGTCATTTGAGGAGTCATCCACTAGTCCACTAATGGATACAGTTAATGAAGATGCAAATCATGTGGATAATTTAATTGAACTAGAGGAAAATGCAAGAGAAAATGGAGTTCTCGAAGACAACAATCCATTCCAAAAGAAGATTAGGAAATGAACACCAAAAGTTTGGAATGAAATTAAGGAAGTGGTTCTTCCAGATGGTACCAAGAAGGTTGAATGCATGCATTGCAAAACAAGATTTGCCATTCCTCCAACAGGTGCTACAACTCAACTTCTTAGGCACTTGAACAATTGTGCTAGACAACAACTTGTTGACAAAAAGCAAAAGGTTCTATCACTTAAGACAACCGGGTCTGACAGTGTGACCAATGTGGCAGCCTTCAAGTATGACCAAGCAAAGGTGAGGGAAGCTGCTTCTCATATGATACTTTATCATGAGTATCCTTTTATGCAAACGGAGCATGTTTTATTTAACAAGTTTATGAAAACTGTTACTCTACATTGACAATGACTGCATTAAGGCAATGGCTTTGAAGATTAAAAAAAAATTTTGACAAGGGGGTGAATGTAATTTGTTGATGGCTATAGCTGCAGTGTTGGATCCAAGATTCAAATTGATGCTTGTTCAGTTTTGTTTTTCGGAGATCTACGCAGAGGCAGAAGCTACTAGAAACATTTACGTGGTACGTGAGGCCCTATATGAGCTTTACAATGAATATGTTGTTATTCATACTTCAAGTAACAATGAGCAAAGTTTGCAACAAAGCACTCAAGAAGCTAATGATTCTAGTAATGCTACTTATGGTCTTGGAAAAGCTCTAGGCACGAGAAGATCTAAATTTGAATCTTTTGTCAGAAAAGCTGACATAATTCAGCCTACAAAATCTGACTTGGACATTTATTTAGAAGAAAGTGTTTACATATGCAATGAAGGTCCAAATTCCCATTTTGATGCATTGGAGTGGTGGAAAGTGAACAACCTCAAGTATCGGATATTGTCCAAGATGGCAGCTGATATATTGTGAATTCCAATCAGTACAGTGGCGTCGGAGTTGACATTTAGTGCTGGTGGTAGAGTTATTGATCCCTATCGAGCATCATTATCAACGGAAATAGTCCAAATCTTACTATGTGGATCTGACTGGGTACGTGCACTACATGGACTCAAAAAGAGATCAGATGTAAGTATTTTTTTAATTATTAATTTTGATCCATACAAATATAATGACAAATTCCTTTATTATCAATTTATGTGAAACATAATATTGAAATAGTATATTCTTGTTTCTTTTGATAGACTATGGAGTCATCTTTCAAAGAGATTTTGTTTCCTTAGTTTGACATCTTTGAGTATGCTCCATCTTTAATAAACTAAATTTCTTAAGTACTATCATAAGATTAATTCATACGTAATAATTCTACTATTACAGGTCAAAGGCTCATGCAAAGTTCCAAAGAAAGGAAGACTTTTTGGTGTGTTTTTAAGTGAATCAAGCCAAGAAATTAGTGGTTTAGTTTTTGGTTATTATGTTTTGTTTAAGGATGCATTGTGTAATGTCCCGTGTAATGTGTTTTATTTAAGGATGCACTGGGTTTTTGGTAATTATGTTTTGTTCAAGTATGCACTATTTAATGCATTGTGCAATGTGTGTAATGCACAGATTTTTTATTACTAGTTGTATATATATATTGGGTTTGATTTTTGTGAAAAAAAAGTGTGATTGAAAAGTTTATTCAATTAGTGACAGAACAATGTACATCACTCTCCATATATGAATTAGAATTTCATTTTTTGAGTTATAGATGTGAATTGGAATTTCGAGCTCGTTTACATTGTCGAGCCTAGATAAGCCAAGCTCAAACATAATTTCTAAAGCTCGACTCGAGCTCAAGCTTCCTCATTTTGACCGAGCCGAGCCTGAACATCTGAAAGTTCGGCTCGGCTCGACTCATTTGCAGCCCTAGTTGTGTGTGAATAGAATCACCCTTTTAAAATTTTAACTTTCTTTGTTTACATCTATATTTAGAGAATGTTTGGGGTGCACTACAAAAGTGAATTTTTTTATCTTTTTTATTTTTTGTGGGTTGTATCATTTTTTTACTT